CAGCCTCGGAGGTTGGGCCCAATCCCTGCTCTATCTAGCAGTAAGCCGGTTTTCGATTGGGCAGGGCCTTGCGCAGCCGCAGAAGACAGTGGGGAGGGCGGGGAGGTGGGGAGAGAAGGGCAGGAAGCGCACGGAAGGGGACGGGAAGGAAGAAAGGCCGACTGCGGGCCTGGTAAGGAGGTCACCTCCGCTGCGTGTTGCTCCCTGGGGCGGACAGTGCTTATCCTGACTGTCAGCTCGCCCCTGCCTGCCTTGTCTCGCGTGCGCTTTCAGTACCGTCACAGATGGCCCCGTTTTAATTTTTTCAAGAGCGTAAGAGAGTTCCCTTTGTTCATTTCCGTTTCCCGCGTCAGCGTTGTAAACAAGGAGCGCAGAAGCGTCCATCTTGTTTACTCTGCGTCTCCAGCAGGGAAACTGTGCGTTAAGTTAATAAAAGTAAGGTGCTGGATACAAGAGGAATATATGAAAATGATTATTTTCTGCACTAATAACCACTAGTTCGACGTAGAAATGAGTAAGTAAGCCCCCAAATGAAAAGATAGACCTAAGTATAAAATTTAAACGGTAACAGGAAGAAAAGCATAATGTGAGGTACAAAAATAATTAAGTTTGAATAGGTGAAGGATTTTCTGGTTCGAAGACGATATAGAAACGTATCTCAAAAGGAGTCTCTAAAGCAGTATAGATAATGTTCCCATCAGAATCTCAGTGGGTTATTCTTTCTGTTTGGGGAACTGTACAATAATGGCAAAAATCCAAAAGCTCGGCCACACCGGTATTGGTGAGACTGGTAGGACTGAACATCGGTGCAACCCCTAGGGCTCAGCTTCGCGGGTCTGGCTGGGCGGTGCGGGGAGAAGCCGGCCCTCCCGCCGCAAGTGCCGGTGGGCAGCTTGGTGGGCGGCTCGGAGGAGGAGAGCCCCTCAGGGCAGCAAGCAGTTCCGGGACAAAACCTGCCACGAGGCCAGGACTCCTGCGTTTGTCCATATGTGACTATCATTCGGTGGCATCTACAATCCTCTCAAGTACCTGAACAGTGACATTCATCCTTTGAAGCTCCTGTTTCCAACCAATCCTAAGGGACGTGCTTACATCACACAGTCCTTGAATAGTCAGTCAGTATATCCCTCTGGCCTTATTCAAGAACAATTTCTTTTCCATCCTTACCACATTGTCCCCTGAAGCAGTAAAGTAACATTTAAAGATATAATTCAGTTGAATGCCTCATCTCCTCCCCCTACAATAAAATCCAAAAGTCTGCTATGAATGGCCTATCATACAAGTAACGTCTATTTGGGTTTATTTCCATCCCTGTGCTAACAAACTTGATTTGTCCTCATGGTAGAATGAAGTTTGAAAATTAAGTCACCAAGAAGTTGTGGGGGAGATTACCTGCAAAAAAAGCTCTTGTGGAATGAGAACTTCAGGGAAAAAAGAAAAAGGTAAATACAATTCATACCATCCTCATAAGCTATAGCTCCAAATAATTGTGTTTTGTTGGGGCAGTATACAGTCAAGCTTTCTGGCTCTGATTCCTCATCTGTAGCTCAGAAAACTGAGAATAAAATATGTAAAACTTTGAGAACAGTGCCTGGTACTGGAAATTCACTCTAGCCCCAGAATGGTAGCCACCCACCGTATGACTATTGATTACATGAAATGTGGCTAGGGCAAATTAAACTGTGCTTTAAGTGTAAAAATACACACTAGGTCACAACACACACACACACTCAGTGTAAAATATCACAGTATTTCTTTTTTTTATCTAAAAAAATTTTTACTTTCCTTCTCCAGATAGGAAGCCTACAAAGTTTATTATGCTTTATCAGGAAAATACAAGGTCAGTCTTTCCTAAGAGGCCTTGTATTTCAATTCCCCGGGCCAGAAACTGCTACTGGACAGACTGAACCAAGCCAAAGGGAAGATCCAACTATAATCAATCTATTTTCTGACCAATGGCACACAGGGTTCCAGACCTCCTCCATTCTCCAGATTCTATGTCTATTCAACTATGTGAGCATGGGCACTTAGGAGAAATGTGCACATCACTTCAATCATTTCCCCACTCCTGGATTAATCTTGGTCCACTCAAAGTCTGCTTTCTGCCAACAGTAAACCCCAGAGGTCAGGAGGCCAAAGGTTCTCAATGTCTACACGGGGTTCTTTTGGGGGCCCAGCAACGACCCTTTCCTTCAAGATCCATTCTGTACCTTTGGATCACGCTAACCACACACAGTAATTACCCCGAGTTCCCAAGGCTGGATGACATCAGATAAGGATGACGCCAGGACCAAGCCTGCTCGAGAGAAGGCGAGGTGGATGCCTCACAGCATTCCTTATATTGTGTTGAAATATTTTAGATATACTGGGATAAATTAATTTACTGGTGTGAATTAATACCGTATTTCTGTTGGACAGCACTGAATCTAGACTCTTGATACAAATTCTCATCTTGCCATAGTCATGCAATGCATAACTGTTTCAGTTCATGAGGGAATGCAAATATAAAGGGTGGTCCTATGAAACTACAATGGAGCTGAAAAATTCCTATTACCTAGGGAAGTAGTCATTGTAGCAAAACACATTACTCAGGTGTTCCTGGTGACGCTGTGTAAACAAACCTACTTAAGTATAGCACAGTTACATACAGTACATAATACTTAACAAATGATTGTTTCTGGTTTATGTATTTACTTTTTTTCTATTTTTTTTTTTAATGTTGCTTTTTAGAGGAAGGGAGAGAGAAACACACCCCCCACCAAGAACTGAGCCCACAGTCTGAGCATGGGCCCTGACCTGGAGTCAAACCTTGACTGTTGGTTCCTGGGTCAACATTCAACCAGAGCCACACCAGCTGTGCTACTGGAAGTGTACTCTTAGTTTGCTGTAGAACACTAGGCCGCGTCACATCATGTTTACACTCTTGGTTGTATTTGCTCGTGAGCTTGATTTCTAGCCCAGGAGCAACAGGCTAGACCAGTGGTCAGCAAACTCATTAGTCAGCAGAGCCAAGTATCAACAGTACGACGATTGAAATTTCTTTTGAGAGCCAAATTTTTTAAACTATATAGGTAGGTACATTGTTATTAACTTAATTAGGGTACTCCTAAGGCTTAGGAAGAGCCACACTCAAGGGGCCAAAAAGCCGCAGGTGGCTCACGAGCCAGTTTGCCGACTACGGGATACCATCTAGCCTAAGTGCGTAGGCTGTACTGTCCAGGTTTGTGTAAGTGCCCTGTTTGCACCACAATGATGAAATTGGCTAACTACCCATTTCTCAGAACATGTTCCTGTGGTTGAAGCGGCACCTGACTGTATTGTCCACAGATTAGATGGTAACAGGGTATCACACTGAGTAATTGTATCCCAATTATGTAATGACAGCTTGTCTGGGGGTATGCAGTTTCTTCTGTTTCAAAGTATAGGAGAGATTAAACAGTCCTGGCCAGGCTGAACTAATAAGGTTAAATTAGACAAGGATGGGGCAATTATGAGAAAAAACCAAATATAACTATATTCTTTTCAGGGTACTGGGAAGAGAAAATGAATAGACTAAGAAAATTAAATAGGGACGTCTCAAGCATATTAAGAGGCTGAAGTCTACCTCAAAGCTAATGGTGAAGGAAGTTGAGATCACAGAAGTGCAATCTCAGAAGTGGCACATATCCACAGCAACTAGCCAGTCCTCTCATCTGTTAAACAGCTATTTGAATGTAGGTCATAATCAGATTGGTACTTTCTGTTACCAGCTAAGTGACAGAGAAAAAATCTAGTATTGTCAATTATTTCAAGTCTCCCTTACAAGGAAATCCTTGAGTTATGTAATTTTACTAAGAGACCAACTAATACTAACAGGATGCTCAGGTTAACCATATTTTCAGTTACAAATGTTAAAGCCAATCCTTGTTTTCTGACTTTACTGTCTAACCAGTCCAATGCCCACCATGTTCTGCACACACCTCCTGGTGGTCAACGCACATCATAGTGACCGGTTATTCCACTGTACAGTCTATTTGCATACTAGGGTTTTTTATATATACTAGAGGCCCGATGCATGAAATTCGTGCAAGAGTAGGCCTTCCTTCCCCTGGCTGCTGGCATGGGCTTCCCTCTGGCACCCGGAACCTGGGCTTCCCTCGCAGCCCCAGCTTCATCTGGAAGGCCGTCCGGAAGGATGTCCAGTCTAATTAGCATATTACCCATTTATTATTATATAGACTAGTGGCCCGGTGCATGCACATTAAAAGGGAATTAGAGGAAATATTTTAATATTGCTATTTGCCCTTTCTCTATAATAGAAGTGTCAGAGATGGAAAAAAATTAGTAAAATGTATATGAAAATCTCCCTCCTGTCAGAGTCTGGGGCGCACCATGGGACACAGAGTCAAGTCCCCACCCACCCAAGTGCACCTCAAAATCCTGCAAGACCCAGACCAGGCTGGCCCCACCCTGTCAAGCTTTACAGGGCGGGGAGCTGGGCCTCAGGTCCCCTAGCCCAAGGGCATGACAACCATTTGTATATTAGCTCTTTATATAGGATGGCCAGTGCATGTCACGGCAGCTCCTGCATTGAGCATCTGCCCCCTGGTGGTCACTGCACATCATAGCTACCGGTCAGACAGACGGACACTTAGCCTTTTATATATATAGATATATATAATAAAGCGAGACTAAAATAGTAAAAAGAAATTTATTTACAAATATATATACACAATAGTTTAATTACTGTTTCTTATAAATTCCATTTCTATGTAACCAATTGATATTATACAAAACATTTACAAGTATATATACAAGACTCCCACCTGTACATAACTCTGGTCCATCTGTGCTACTATCTGCAAAATAAATCTAAGATGTTAACGATTACCACTAAGTTGCTCATAGGAATGAAATAATGGCATAGAAAACACAAACTTGCAGTAAAGTGCATTTCAAGAAGCCTTAGCCATCAGTTCTCTTTTTAAATAGGTTTCCACAATTCATATGGACTTTTTTTCTGATTTATTTTTAGGGATCCTGAAGAGGTCTCTTCAGCGGATTTCTGTAAGAGAACAAATTTTCAAGTCAGCTTCCCAGACACATATATATTGTACGTACTTTAAAATATTTGCTTTTCACAATACATTAAATAATTCCATTTAAGACTGAAATTTAAGAGACACCAACCAAATGCCAAGTGTTAACCTCATCTGTAACCTCACTCAAACTTAGGCCAAGAAACTGCCAAGTATAATCAAACATATGCAGGACATACTACAATTGTGAGGTGTTAAAAAGGAGGACAAGACCTAGCCGGTTTGCCTTAGTGGATAGAGCATCAGCCTGTAAACTGAAGGGTCCTGGGTTTGATTCTAGTCAAGGACACATGCCTGGGATGCAGGCTTGATCCCAAATGGGAGGCGTGCAGGAAGCAGCCAATCAATGAATGATTCTCTCATCATTGATGTTTCTATCTCCCTCTCCCTTCCTCTCTCAAAAAAAAAAAGGGGGGGGGGGGGGGATGGGACAAGCCCTGGCCAGTGTGGCTCAGTTGTGTGTCTTCCTATGCACCAAAGGGTTACCCCTTCCATAGGAGATGTGCAGGAGGCAGCCGACTGATTTCACTCTCACATCAATGTTTCCCTCTTCTCCTCCCTCCTCTCCCCTCCCTTCAATCCCTCTCTGAAAAGCAATGGAAAAAATATCCTTAGGTGACCTGAGAATTACAACTGTGGGTGGGTGGGTGTGTAGATACTAAGTCTATAAAGTGACTTTAGTAGGCCCCCAATTATCACAGCAGACAAAACAATGAGTCTTCCAATAAAAATAAAAGCCCACATAACAGATGTATGTTCCAAGTCCAATTTTTAAGTAGTCAGTGGTTAGATACTTACATTAGAGCTAATGCTTTTTTGCTGGGAAGACTTTTCATTGGCATTTTTAGTTCCATCTTCTGTTAGCTTTCCGGATAGCTAGACAGGAAGAGAAAATATATATTCTTAAAACCGTATTTTTGGTTTAGAGTACTGTATACAAAGCAGCCAGCCCAACTGCATATAAATTTAGCTGTAGAGACACAGCAAATCAAGTTGGATCTAACCATACAGCTAGTAGTATAAACACTGGAATGTTTTTCCCGTTAACAAAACTGATACAATAAATGGATCTGATGAAGACAGGCTTCCCCATAAAGCTGTATTGTATTCCCAAATACAAGTTAACTCTGAAAGTCAAGCCATACCAGAAAATACCTAGTTACAAAGAACTAAGCTGCGATTTTAAACCAGTGTACTTCAAGAATTTCTATAATATGCAATACCTGACTATTTAGTCAGGGGCACTGATCTCTTTTCCCTTTTATTTGAAAACTGCCAACACAATAGCCATCTGGTGTGAATGTATCAAAATTATACCTTTTAAATCATATCAGCAAAAAAATATATTTTTTGGTGTGCCACAGAATTTTATTAATTATAATTTATGTGTGCCATGAGATGAAAGAGGTTGAAAATCGCTGAACTAAGGCATTAGCCCAGTTGTCGAAAAAGCAACTAGTCGTCTGAAAAAGCAACTCAACTAAGATTTTGTCTACTACTAATAAAGCATACCCACGACTGGGTCGGAATGATAGGATTATCTAGGTAATATCTTTCCTGTTTACATAGACTATCAATTCTTAACTACCTTAAACTTCAAAGCTATGGTTTTATGCTCTGGGTTTCAACATAACTTAAAGAACAAAGTGCAGTTTGCCAATGCACATCCTGCACATTTCTGTAGAATTATAAACTTATCTGCAAGTGAAGCAGGCCTCTTCTTCTGTAATCTCTCAAAACATCTGGAATATATTGCATATATTATGAAATGGACATCCTGATCACAGATGCCCCAACATTACAAAGTGCACTTTAGTTTAAAACTGTCTTCAGTATCTTATCCAAATAGTACCTATCCCAAATTCTAACATGCACATGGATCTACCAATAAAAACTAAGCTTTCAGTGTGTGAATATAAACTTCAAATTAGTTAAACCTCTGATGCTTATGCCCATGTATCAATTACCAACAGATTTTCTTCAGCAATGTCTGGAGACCACATTCATGATTTCTATAAGACAGAAATAAAGCAGGTAAACTATACTGTATGTTGAGTACAGAATTTCTGGGAACATTATGCTGCAAATGAAAACTACAGATACTCTGTAAAGATGAGTTAGAAAAATTTGGTAACTACATAGAAATCACCAAAGTACCAGCTACAATCATGAAAGCAATTAATTCTGTGTCAACTGAAAATAATGGTCAGTAATCTCCCACTTTTATGGAAGAGACTAAATCTAGTGATGTCAGATCTGCTATTTTTACTTTAATAAATTATATTTAGCTAGCCTTTCCAAGAAGGCTAAGATACACTGAATAAAAATTGCTAATCAGGTCTGGCAGCAGCTTTTTGAAGATTTTGTCTGGATAAACCTAGAATACTTACCTCAAACTTTGCACCATTATTTGATACAGCTGTTCCATGGTTTGTTTCTTTAGACACAGGAACAATTCTGAGACTAGGGGGCAATTCAAAGTTGGTTGTTCCTAAGGCTTTTGCTGCATTGGCTTTTGCTATTTCTAACAGCTCCATTCGGTCTACAAAAGAAACACCAAGATATTCCTTAGTCTTATAGTATTCCCCAAGAGAACTCAGAATCACAAAATAAGGGTGCATTTTATTTATAATAGCAAGACAAACATTTATGTAAAATATACCCTTATTCATGAAACAATTTTCTACCTCTTTTGCTGAGTAAAATAAGCATCCCTAAATAATTTCAAGTTTTCAGTTTTCCTTATAAAAAAGTCCTAGCCTTCACATTGTTTTTGCTTTCTCTTCAAATACGTATTCTGAACATCGTACTTAAAAAATTTTTCACACAGTATATTTCTCAACTAATGAACCATCATTGACAAATTACTAATCCATTTTCAGACTTAAAAGTCTGTGTTTTTTTAAAAACCTATCCTCTTTTCTGTTCCATGCTCCTGTCCTGGAAGTCATTTGTTTTGAAATACTGGAACAAAATCCTTGTGTGTTTTTCGGTAATATAGTATTAACTTTTGAAAAAAGGAATGTTTTGATCCTGTCCTTCACGTTCTACAATGAACTTAGCAGAGACTTAGGGCGGGCAACCGAAGTCACAAACATTTACAAGACTCCTAAGTGCCGGCCGCCAGCAGAGGAGGTCACCTACCTCCCTGTGGCCAGAGCCACTTACCGCCACGCTCAATCCCAGGGGAAGAAATGTGTCGTTAAGAAACTGGGTGTCACCTGCAGTGTAATTTAGCTGGTAGCCTGATAAAGTCTTCCTCCTAACAAACTACTGAGACGTCAGGCACCAAGGAAAACCACACCGCAGCTTCTCATGCCGTCGCGCACGCGTGAGGAGCCCGGGGAGACGGCAGCTGCGCTCGCTCACCTTTCTCACTTAGGCGGAAAGGCGTGGGGGACCGCGACCGCGACCTGGACCTCGACCTGGATCTTCCCCGCCAACTCCCGTGCTCCTCCGGGTACACCGTGCGGCCAAAGCCGTAGTAGCGTCGCCCCCGCGTGACCGCGTAGGCCCTTCGGTAATACGACCGTCCCCGAGAGCGGGACCGGCTGCGCGATCGGTCTGGCGAGGGAGACCGGTACCGCCTGGAGGAGCCGTAGCGCCTCTCCCGGTACCGGCGGCTGCGGGAGCGCGACCGGCTCCGCGAGTAAGACCGCGAGTAGCGCCTGTACTTCCGCTGGTGGCGCCTTCGGGACCGAGACCGGGACCTGCTCCTGCGCCGGGGCCGGCTCCCGCTGCTGCTGGACCACCGACTGGAGCCGCTGGAACGGGACCGCGAGCTTCTGGAAGAGCGGCTCCGGGTCGCCGAGGACAGCCGGCTGGACCCGCCCGAGGCTGCCGGGGACTGCAGGGGCGAGCCCGGCCACATGTCGTTCACGTAGTTTGACATCTGGGCCTGCGGTAGGGAGCTTCCTGGTCTCTGAGGAGCCTTCCCGGAGACTCGGTTCCTAGAACGGAGGGGGGAGGGGAGGAGTGACGTCCCGGAAGTAAGGCCCGCGGTGGTGGGGGGAGGGGGACCGCGGGCCTCGACAAAGCAATCGAGACTCGCCAACTCCGGTGCAATCGACGCCAGACACCGGCCTTCCCGCCCGGCCAGCGGCCCCCTTTGTGCACCAGGCCGGCCCCGCACTTTCCCCGCCACCCACGCCGAGGTCCCCGCGGGTCCGACCTCGCCACCAAAAAACTTACCACAGGCCGCCGACCTTCACGCAGGACGAAGAGAAAGGCCCAACGGACGCCTCCCTTCCTCAGCCAGGGGCGAAGAGGGGATTTTTTTCCACAGCCGCTCCGACCGCGAACACCAGACCCACACCTCCGACCTCCGGACGCGAACTGAGCTGCGCGGCAGCTGACGCGTCGAAAATACTAGAAGATGACGTGTGGCGCATGCGCAGAAACGTTGGCGCGATGGGCGTGGCCTCCTTTTCGCCCAACCGCCGCCCTTCCTTCCTTACCCCGCCCGCCCCGCCCTCCCTGCCTCCCGCCTGGCGCCGAGGCCTCCAGGATGCGCACGCGCGACCGAGCAGGGGGGGCTGGGAGGCGGGGCTGCTCCATCCGGGGATTGGCGGCCTGCGGTGGTTTTGTTTTTCTGGTGGAGACTGTGAGGCGGCCTCCCGGCCTCCCGGCCTCTGCCCGCCGATGGTGGCGGGGTCGTTGCCTCCGCCCTCTGGGGAGCTGCAGCCTGGCTGTGCCTCCCTGGACCTTCCTCCTGACCGGCGACGGGAGGGCGACCGCGTCGGGGACTCACAGGTTCCCTAAACAGTCAGCGCTAACGTGATTTTGCTAGAAGATGTAAGAAAGGTGGAGACGGACGCACAGACACCATGGCTGACCTTTAACAAGGAGGTCAGAGTGCGGTCTGGGATGTCATCCCAAGGGCACTGTGCTTGGTGTGGGGGGTTAACCAACCAGGACTATTTCCTATTCAAGGATTTATAAATAGGATACGTTCCAAACATACTTTTCCTTAATGAAGCATGACACTTGTCTTGAAATAGCTTTTCATTGAGAACCAATCACAACTGTAGGGAGAGTTAGTTGTTCTATGAGCTTTGCAAGTCAAGGGTGGCATTTTTACAAAAGCCAGTTTCTTTGGAGGGAGATACAAGCTCACTTCTCTCTTGTTCACATTCACCCCCCACACACACACACACCCCACACCCCATCCCCAAGCTTGCGACAGAATCCGCACCCCTCCCCGTGATGCCTCTTGCTTGGCACTGTCCACAGATTCACACCGCGTCCCTGAGGGAGCGTCCTAAGTGCCGTCACAAGCACGGGAAGTGAAGACAGTGCCTACCCACCAGGGATGTTTGAGTTTCAGACTTGGCAAGTGTAAAAACGGTGTGTTAGGGGAAATAATGTGGAACTGTGTGTATAAGACAATGCAATGTTGAGCTCTTGGCTATGAATAAGAAGAGGGTGGTAGCAGTCTCTGTAGAGAGTTCATGATAACAGTCAAATATGTGCCTAAAAGAAGGTGACTAGAAAAATTCCGGGTGCTACCATTAAGAGTACTGAACCCATAACAGTGTTACTTTCCAGCTGCCTCCCTAAAAGCAGCGGGAGTCTGCCATGGGGGGGGGGGGGAGGGCCTTGATCACTCAGCTGACCTGGGGAGCTGGCCCTCCTGGGCTCCTCCGGGCAGTAACAATCAAAAAGACCGCTCTTGGCAGGCTACCACCCTCCGGCACTGGATAAACAGCAGACGGAAGCACTGGGAAGACTCTTCATTTGGCATCTTTAGTTCCGTCTTCTGTTAGCTTTTCCAATAGCTAGACAGGAAGAGAAAAAATATATATTTACTAATTCTGGAGCTTCAGCCTAACAGACAGGCTTCCGGTTTCCCATACTGTTGAGATGTTGGGACACACCATCCTGGGGGGTCTCAGGAAATTTGTTTCCTGGTGGCACCCTAAGAACTCCACTTCCACCGATAGCACCTTCACCCCTTCCACCATGGGAGGACACAAGAAGGCTACCATCTGCCACCTGGAAGAAGGCCTTAACTAGAACCTGCCCACACTGGCACTCTGTTCTTGAACTTCGAGCCTTCAGAACTGTGAGCAATGTGCCTGGCTGGCGTGGCTTGGTGGTTGAGTGTCAACCTATGAACCAGGAGGTCACGATTTGATTACTGGTCAGGGCACGTACTTGGGTTGTGGGCTCAATCCCCAGTGTGGGGCGTGCAGGAGGCAGCCAATCAATGATTCTCTCGTCATTGATGTTTCTTTTTTTTTTTTTTTTAATATATTTTATTGATTTTTTACAGAGAGGAAGGGAGAGGAATAGAGTTAGAAACATCGATGAGAGAGAAACATCAATCAGCTGCCTCCTGCACACCTCCCATTGGGGATGTGCCTGCAACCAAGGTACATGCCCTTGACGGGAATTGAACCCGGGACCCCTCAGTCCGCAGGCCGATGCTCTATCCTCTGAGCCAAACCTGTCAGGGCAATATTTCTATCTCTCTCTCCCTTTCCCTTCCTCTCTGAAATCAATAAAAATACATTTTTTTTAAAAAAAAACTGTGAGAAATAAATTTCTCTTATGATAAGCCACCCAGTCTGTGATATGTTGTCATAGCAGCTGCCTTTATTTCTCTTGAGGATGTTGTTGATGAACAAAGAAGGATGTAAAACTGACAATTAGCTTGAAATTTGTCCATTTACATATTATTTGCAGAAAAGAGGGAAACTAGAGTAAATGGTAACTTCTTTAAGGATCTCATATTAATTCTCTAGAAATGTTTACAATTTGGAACTATGCTTGATTATCCATTCAGCAAGCATTTCCCTCAAAATCTCCTCCTCCTTCTCCTCCTCCTCCTCCTTTTTCTTCTTCTTCTTCCTCCCAGGAAAATCACAACATGATTTCTACCTTGGAATAGATCATAGGCATCTGGATATTACACTGGCTTTAGAAGAGACAAATACTACTTTTAAAGAACTTGGTCTATGTAGTATCACATAAAATTAGCACCAGTAAAGAGAGGATTTTATGAAATTTGTAAAATGAAAAATTCAAACACATAAGTTTAAATTATATATATATAATCTTTCTGGTAGGGTCTCTATTTTTTTTATCAGGAAACTGTGCTCATAGAGACTGCCTTGAAACAACTACAGTCATGTGCTTCATGGAATCTAATGAGAATATACCATTAGAGTCTCAAGATTTTTATACTTCCCTTTTTGAAGACCACTTGGCACATTTGAAGAATTAACAGTTTTGCGAACAGTGCTTGTGATTCATTTTTCCATTGAGACCAAGGAACGACGCAGTCACTCAACTGCAGGACACACAGACGGCCAGTGTGTGGCAGTGTTTAAATGCTCTTCTGAAAGTTGATGCCACAGCTCTGCATTGATTACAAATGCATCCCAGGGTTATATTTTTCTTTTGTTATTGCTCAGTTTGTCAAGGTTTGTTTGCCAAACAGAATATGAAAAATGAACATGAGATTTTCTTGCACAATTCTTTTTTTTTTAAAAATATATTTTATTGATTTTTTACAGAGAGGAAGGGAGAGGGATAGAGAGTTAGAAACATTGATGAGAGAGAAACATCGATCAGCTGCCTTCTGCACACCTCCCACTGGGGATGTGCCCGCAACCAAGGTACATGCCCTTGACCGGAATCGAACCTGGGACCTTTCAGTCCGCAGGCCGACGCTCTATCCACTGAGCCAAACCGGTTTGGCGACAATTCTTAATAGATATATGATCAAAATGTAAGCTCAATTGCTTAAGAAAATCATAAACATGATTTTTTTATTTTTTAAATATACTTTTATTGATTTCAGAGAGAAAGGGAGAGGGAGAGAAGCATCAATGATGAGAGAATCATTGACCTGCTGCCTCCTGCACGCCCCCTACTGGGGATCAGGCTACCCTGACCAGAATGGAACCGTGACTTCTGTCTGGTTCATAGGTCAACAACGCTCAACCACTGAGCCAGGCCAGCCGGTCCTCATAAACACAATGTAGTCACTCAATATGGCTGTAAACAGGTTGTTACTGTGGAGTATCTTGGTATGGACAAAGTATTATTTTCACTGAAAATTCTGAAGACCAAGTTTCTTTTCCCCCCAATAATATTTAAAAACAAACAAACAACAACAACAAATACATGCGCACACACACACATTTTTTGGTACAAGAGAAAAGTAAGGAGACATAATAACTAAATGTAACATGATATTCTGGATGGGATTTTGGAACAGAAAAAAGGACACCAAGTAAAAACTAAGGAAATCTGAGTAAACTATTGACTTTAGTTAATAACAATGTATCAATAGGGGAGACAAATGGTGAGACAAAATAAATACAGTATCAATGTTAGTTCACTATTTGTAAGAAATGAACCACAAAAATGCAAAATGTTAATACTGTGGTAGGGAAGCTGTGGAGGGAGGTACTATGGGAACTTTCTGTACTATTGATTCATTTTTACTGCGGGGCTGGCACAGCCCTAGAAAATTTACCGCCGCACTCCAGACGGGTACAAAGGCTCAACAGCGGCCTCCCTTTGGAAGCCTCAGTGCAAAGAGTTACTTCTCGCGCCCACCGTTGAAAGGTGAACCCTAAGGACTACTACTTCCGACGTCCAAGAGACCAGCGGCCGCTGCCGGCGCCGAGCATGCGCAGAGACGTCGGCGTCGCGGGCGTGACTCCGACCCTAGCCCCGCCCCCGTCCTCCCGCCCCGCCCTCTGTCCCCGTCTCCGCATGCGCGTCCCAGACCGGGGTGGCGCTGCTCCATCCGGGTATTCGGCGGCCTGTGCTGGTTTTGTTTTTCTGGCTGAAACCGGGAGCGCGAGGCGGCCCCGTGTGGCACGACACCGGGCTCCAGACCGACGGCACGGGCGGGGCTGGACGTAAGTGCCAGGTGGGAGCGGGGGAGGAAGGCATCGCCGCGGCAGGATAGTGCTCGGACCCGGACTCCGTGCCCGGCGGATGCTGAGTCGTTGTCTCCCACTCTGGGAGCTACAGACGGGCTGTGCCTGGCTGGACCTTCGGGGCTACCTACTTCGGACCGGACCGGCGGCGGCGGCGGGAGAGGGCAGCCGCGTCCGGATCGCGCCGGGCTGCCGGGCCGCGCCCTTCCCAGGACTCACAGGACCCCTGGAAAGCGCCTTGCCTCCCCTGCGGGAGAGCTGGAGAAACTGAGGCTCAGCGGGCTCACCCGGCGAGCCGGACCGGTCTCCAGACCGTCCCGGTCCACACCCCGCACCCGAACCCCCGCGTCTGTGGGCGGAGTTGGGCAGGAGAAGGGCTTCGAGGCGGGGTCGCCGGGAAGAACCGAAAGTAAACATACGAGGCGTGCTGTTCCTCCCGGGGAAGAGTAAAACG